GGATTCAATAAAATTTCGTTCCGGTTCTCTTTTTTTGGCGTCGAACGCAAGCGACCAACATTGAAAAATGATGCGGCAGCCTCTCGAGAAAGGGATCGCTACCAGCAGTTTATTTCCGCGCAGTATGAAACCAGATTCAGTGGACAAACACCGGCCTAACAATGTGATTTATCGTTGTCCATCATCTTCTGGATCCCTGTTGTAACGTCAAACCACCAGTGGATTGGGATCTGCGTGGGAGACCGTAGACCCAATGTGTACTCGGTGTTAACCGTTAAACGAGACACCTCCAGAGAGATCTATAGATTCGCAGCGGCGGATAAGCGGCTTACAAATAATATCTACCAGCCCAATAAATCGCGCGCGATGCGTTCAGAATCAGTCAACGATGGCTCCCGAACGTCATGGGGTTAATGTATGGGAAACACAGACACGCGTTCGAGTATGCTGAATGCAAAATCAAGTGCGTGCATCGCAGGCCTGCTGCGTTTCATCGGAGCAGAGTGTTATTTAATTTAATGTAAAACGATCTCGTTGCGCAGCGTTGTGTTCGCTTTTCGACAAACCGATAACCGATAACCTGTAAACACTAATACTCCGAGCATATGACTTCGAAAATCGCTTCTCTCTTTATTAAATCTTTTGGCAGATATAATTTTGGATAAAAAGAGAATCGTTTTCGCGAAACAAAAGATATCAATGTAAACGTTCGAACGTGTTTAAATAACGTTTAAAGAGCGCAACAGGCTTCTTCGTTTGAAAAAAAAGATCACGGGCGCCGGAGAAAGTTTAACCGAGCTATAAAAAAGAAAGTTAGAACACGGATTTCGCATTAAATAGTTCCGATGCACGGAGATTTGTATTATAGTTCGAAAGCGTTAAAACTCTTTTGCAAGCTGAAATGTCGATAATGAATAACCGACGAGCGTGTCCACCGTTCCAATTACTTGACGCGCGAAACGGATTTTTAATAAACGTGAACTTATTATTTACGAACGGGATCGTATTATAGAGTTCGTGGAAGATCAGTAGATCTCTTATTACGTATTTGTATTTAATATAAATGCGAATATAGGCCGCGTGCAAATTTATGTTTTAATTTCTGATCTATTCCAATTTATGAAAATGAGTGATAACTTATTCGAAGACAGAATTATACGAACAATTTATGACGAATAATGAACAATCGTTTCTCGAATAAAGTATTCGACTAAAAAGAATTCATTCTAATCAGAATAAAGTATCTACATAAATTTTCATTCGATAGTGCGGAATGAAATTTTAATCGTTAGCGTTTATCTCTTGTCCGTCACGTGGAATAGAATTTTGCCGAACTCTGATAGGCGAATATAAATATAAATAAAGTTGCAATAAATAAACAATAAAATTGAAATAATATTCCAACAATAGTAAAGTATTCGGGCGGAAATTTTTACCGCAGATTGTGCAAGTACACAATGAATTTTTCGAATCGAATTTTTCATTCTGATTTCTTTTTCATATCTTTTTATTGTCAAACAAATTAGTCGGCAAAATAATTTGCACGTCATTCGGACCGGCGTAAACAAATGCTATCGAAATGTTTATTTGCAAAATTCTACCGGTAGCTGATTTTTGCCCGAGTGCTCTTCCTTCGAATGTGCAAATTAGATCAATACTTACCTGTTGTTTCAAAAACGCTCCGTTCAAAGTAAACGTTTCTCAGTCGGAGTTATTAAACAACCAGGTTTATTATCCGTATATACAAAGGTTTACATGCTTACTCAAAGTTGACCACAAAGCATGGTAATACGTCAGCGAGCTTTGGATCGTCTCCATTTTCTCGGTACATCAAACAGCCTCACGAAACAATGTCCAACACGAAACCACAGAGTGTACAGGATGAGTGCCCCGATGGGTATAAGAACATTAAAGGAAGGAAATTTATTGTCTATGTACAAACGCCGTAAAATCCGATTTTCCGCCACGACGAAACATCCTTCTTTTAGCCCCCGATATTCCTTTTTTTACATTCAAGTTACGGTTACTTAATCTAGGTGAAAAATAAGAGTAAGTCTTCGACACCCCGGGAAGGACTCTTAAGAATAGTTATTGTCTATTTACAAACGTCTTTTGTCGCGACGCGTTTGGCATGGCTCAGCGAATTCGCGTGGCAGAATAAAAACGGCCCGCTACGATTATCCTCTCTTTTCTCGATCGAATCTCGAATCGAACCGGATCCAACGATACCGATTACCGTTACAGAACTGAGCAATTTGCGTTCCCCGTTTCTCACGACTTCGGTCGGCCACGAATTTATCAGATATTACCTGGAAAGGAAACGTTGGTAACATGGAACGTTTGAAAATCTACCAGCTACGAAATTAACAACGGTAGAGCAATTTGTTTCCTTTTTCGTTTGTTCTTATTAGAACAATACGCGGTTATGAAATTATTTCGCCCAAAAATAAATTTCCCATGTTCAACAATCCAAGTTCCATGTTATCTACATTCACTTTGGTCCAGTCTATTGAAAATATTCCAATATTATTGGGTTGGCAACTAAGTAATTGCCGATTTCAGTTATAGATGTACTCTCACTCCCATTTTTATGATATCCGTAAATGTTATGTTATAAAATTATTATTATTATTATTATTATTATTATGTTATTTTTTATTATCCGTGAATGTTAGCAACTGGACAAATTGAATGCAGCGGTCAAGGAAAAGCGAGCAGAATTGGTCAATCGTAAAGGTGTCATTTTCCAGCAGGACAATGCTAGGCCGCACACGTCTTTGTCCACTCGGCAAAAATTCATGGATATTGGTTGGGAATTGATGTTACATCCACCATATAGCCCTGATCTCGCGCCAT